CTCTGGACTCCTCAAATGTGAGGGCCGGAATGATCGCTCCGTGAGCAGCCTCAGGTGAGGGCCAACTGCAAATTAGTGTGTGGCTACAGGCATGCTTGGGTGTCTAAGTCGCTAGAGTCTAATTTTTAGATGTGAAGGAGAAAGTATGTGGTCATGTGTTGCCTGCCATTGCCATCGTGCTAGAAATCATAGTTTAGAAACTATCTCAGTTACATTAGCTGTGTTTTTTCCACTTACAACGCAGTGATGGCACAACCCTCACATGTGGGAATCCAAAGTGGATTTCATCCTTAAAACTGTAAGCAGAGAGAGAGACTCCGACCCAACTAACTGTCATTTTTATATAAAAATATAAAACCCGATGATGGGTTGAGTTGTGTCCTCCAAAAGAAAATATATTGAGTTTTAACCCCCAGTTCCTCAAAATGTGACCTTATTTGGAATTAGGGTCATTGCAGGTGTAATCAGTTAAAATGAGGTCATGCCGGAGGAGGGTGGGCCCCATTCCGGTATGAACAGTGTCATATGAGAAGACGGCCACATGAGGACAGACACATAGGGAGAAGGCCACGTGGCGGGAAGACAGAGCATGCTGGAATGCACTGGCAGGCCAAGCCATGCCAGAGGTTGCCAGCAGCCACCAGAAGCCAAGACAAGGCAAGGAGGATTGCATGCAGGTTTCAAAAGAAGTGTGGCCCTGGGGACACCTTGATTTCAGACTTCTGGACTCCAAAACTGTGAAAATAAATTTTTGTTGATTTAAGCCTCCCTGTTTGTGGCACCTCGTTGCAGCAGCCTGGGAAACTAATACAGTGAGCAACACAATTGAACGGACTCTGGCAGGAATCTCCTCTGGGTCCTCATTCTGTCTATTCCGAGACTCTCTCCCCACCGCACACTCCTCTCCCTCCCCACCTCTCCACATGCACACAAGGAGCAGGTAACCCAGGAAGGGGTCTGTGGATGGAGAATCTAGTCACTCAGATGCAAGAGCCCACGTAAGAGAGAAGGCCTCCCATAGGAGTGGGCAGTTCTTCTACTACCTGAATGGAAGAAGTTTTTGAGAAATCTAAGTGAAATCCAAGAAAGCAAGATGGAGTCCTTCCTAGTTGACAGAGAATTTCGGAAGAAAAAAACGGCATCCATGTATCGACACACAAGTCTGTTCTGCAGGCTGTTTGTGCCTCATTATTTCTGAGGTCAAATCCTCTCCCCAGCCCGACGGGGGTTGTCCTGCTTTCTCCACGTCCCCACCTCCCACCCACCATGATTCTCAGTAAGACTCAAGAGCGGGGAGACAGGTGGAGCGGGGTGTTTCTACTCCTTAAACCAACATTCAAATGCATTCATGTGAGGAGCCCCCCAAAAGGATTTCTCTCAATAGGTGGCTCGCGTGCATTTTCTGTGTGATTAACTAAAAACCCAGCCAAGCTCAGAATTGAAGAAGAGGGTCAG